CAAAGAGACCCCTTGATGTTCGACTCAAAGACCATCAAGACAAGCCCGGCAATGAAGGAACATCTGCTGTGGCTGAACATCTTGCTATGGGAAGGAAAACAGGACATAAAGTCAACTTTGACAACACCAACATACTGACAATCAATAAGCACATAGATAAAACCAGGAGACTTCATGAAGCTATCCACATCAGAAGATATCAGCCTGACCTTAACAGAGACGAAGGTGTTCGTTTATCGCATGCATATGATAAACTTATCAACTTGTAATTATTCATATTCAAACAATTTCCAACTTTAAGCATAGTTAGTTATATGAACAATGTAATTTCTATTAATAAAAGACTCCAATACCAGCAATAGTTGTTTATTTAATCTTCAATTAATCTTTTTAATTCATTTACTTTACTTCAATTATTTTACTTAATCAGCCTGTATGTTATTTTAAGAATTATATACCTCTTATTGTACCTGTTAAAATTTAATGTAATGTATCAATAAACTATTTATCTCTTGTGTGTTCTTAATAATAAGCATTAATGTATATATAGTTTGCCCATCACTTCTTCTCATTATGTGCCTGAGGACGACGGGGGAAACACGTCGAAACGTTGCATAAAACTTTAACCAGTGATTGTTGTTCCATAAAGCTGTGTCTATAAATCAAGAATAAGTGTTCATCAATTTATCTTTTAGCTATGTTATAACAATTATTTTTTTGCACTGTTTCACTTTATATAGAAAAGGTCTTGCTCATCAAAATTAAGCAAATCGATGAAATTCTAGAACATTGTACCGCCTAGTCATTTTGGAATTGATTTTCAAATGAAACACATCTTTAAATCGGGTATTTTTTCCTGTATTAAGTGTGTAAATTTCAAGCTACATGATCTGGAATAATGATGCAAATTCATCAATCTGTTCCAAACCACAAAATTCCCATCAATATCCAAGCATCACAATGAGAAAATGACTAAGAAGTAAAGAGTTATGATAGACCAATACTTACATATTTACAAACTGAACAAGATTTGACGGCATTTCTTTCACCACAAGTAGCACAAACATCTTCAGCCATAGCAAACTGATTACCATTAACACCAGCTATTAGTGATGATAGAGCTGTTGGTGTATCACCCTGTAATATTAGCATTGTAAATCAAATTCAATAGGTTAACTCCTTACAGCACACTGATCCTCCTGTGACTCCCCTTAAACCATGGGAGGATTGCGTGAATCACTTGTAAGTTTTTTAATCTTCGATATAGAATTTAAGGTGAGATGAGATATTTAATGTTCATTTGAACAGCTAATTCTGCAAATTGAGGTTTACTTTCCACTTAATGAGAATGTGCCTATCACTTCCAATAAAATTTATTAGTTACTTACAATTTTAACTGAAGATATCTGTCTAACCAAAGTCTGGAATAATTGTGAATCAACATAGGGAAACTCTTTTAATGACTGACGAACTACTCTTTCAGCAAACTCAGGGAAACCATCTTGATCACGTCCCTTCACTAAACTAGAAATATATTGAATATTGATGATGTTATCATACTGTACAGAGAGGAAGGGAGATAATTATATTAATTTTCTGCATTAACAGACCACAATGATTAAGCATTTGTTAAATATCTTTAAAGAATTGAATTGTTTTTTTAGCCTTTGCATGTGTATCAGAAATTTCTTCCTGGATTAAACTGGATTAAAAGATCCAAATGTATCTTCTTGACCTGAATTGAACCCTTGACCTTGGGGTCAAGCATGTAAACATTTACTTCACCGAGCAACCATTACTCCATCTTATTGAGAGAGAGAGAGATATATGTACCTTTTTATCCAGAATTGAAGATTATCATTTTTGTCATCATGAGATTTTCTAGCTAGGCGTATAATAGTAGTGAAATAATGTAGTTTAACGGCCATAACATCATTAGTATCTCTAGCCTTCATATTCTTCTCTACCAATATATCTAATACTTTACATACTTTATAGGATTCATTGACTAGTATCATATTATCACGTAAATACATTGATACCTGAAATAATAAATACTTTATATGATTCATTGACTAGTATCATATTATCACGTAAATACATTGATACCTGAAATAATAAATACTTTATATGATTTATTCACTAGTATCGTTTATCATGTAAATACATTGATACCTGAAATAATAAATACTTTATATGATTTATTCACTAGTATCATTTATTATGTAAATACATTGATACCTGAAATAATAAATACTTTATATGATTTATTCACTAGTATCATTTATTATGTAAATACATTGATACCTGAAATAATAAATACTTTATATGATTCATTCACTAGTATCATTTATTATGTAAATACATTGATACCTGAAATAATAAATACTTTATATGATTCATTCACTAGTATCATTTATTATGTAAATACATTGATACCTGAAATAATAAATACTTTATATGATTCATTCACTAGTATCATATTATTATGTAAATACATTGATACCTGAAATAATAAATACTTTATATGATTCATTCACTAGTATCATTTATTATGTAAATACATTGATACCTGAAATAATAAATACTTTATATGATTCATTCACTAGTATCATATTATCATGTAAATACATTGATACCTGAAATAATAAATACTTTATATGATTCATTGACTAGTATCATATTATTATGTAAATACATTGATACCTGAAATAATAAATACTTTATATGATTCATTGACTAGTATCATTTATTATGTAAATACATTGATACCTGAAATAATAAATACTTTATATGATTCATTCACTAGTATCATATTATCACGTAAATACATTGATACCTGAAATAATAAATACTTTACATGATTCATTCACTAGTATCATATTATCACATAAATACATTGATACCTGAAATAATAAATACTTTATATGATTCATTCACTAGTATCATATTATTATGTAAATACATTGATACCTGAAATAATAAATACTTTATATGATTCATTCACTAGTATCATTTATTATGTAAATACATTGATACCTGAAATAATAAATACTTTATATGATTCATTGACTAGTATCATATTATCACGTAAATACATTGATACCTGAAATAATAAATACTTTATATGATTCATTCACTAGTATCATATTATCACGTAAATACATTGATACCTGAAATAATAAATACTTTATATGATTCATTCACTAGTATCATTTACTATGTAAATACATTGATACCTGAAATAATAAATACTTTATATGATTCATTCACTAGTATCATTTACTATGTAAATACATTGATACCTGAAATAATAAATACTTTATATGATTCATTCACTAGTATCATTTATTATGTAAATACATTGATACCTGAAATAATAAATTTCTTTACATACTTTATTAAGCTTTGTTATTAATATAGCATTATATTAGAGATCTAGAGAAGGGTATAAAAAAAATGAACCCACCTTAACAGGGTGTAGATTAACAGAATTGACCAGACCTAATAATGGTTCTAATGTTTCTAGTGGTAATTTACCTTCTGTTTCTAAACCTACATTAAAA